GGGGCACTGCTGGCTGGGGGCACCCAGGCAAGCGCAAGGGTAACTTCTGGGGCTGGGGTATCATGGGTAAGGGCAGTCTGGGTGAGGTTCATTTAGGGCCAGGGTGCATCATGGGAGAAGGCATATGGGCGAGGAGGGCATCTGTATGAGGGTCATTGCTAGGCAGGGGCACCAGGGCAAGGGCATCTTGGGCAAGGGTCACTTCTGGACCAGGGGCATCATCATCACAGGGCCCAGGGTCTGCTGTGCTGTGGGTGGGCACTGCACAGGGCAGCAAGGCCTGCCAGCAGTGGACAACCATCTGTGCTGTGCTGAACGTTCAGTGGGGTGAAGAGGCCTCTTTCAGGCTGGTCTCCTTACACTGAGAATCCAGGGGCACTGCCGTGTGTGTGTGTGTGTGTGTGTGCTCATGTGTGCATGTGTGTGTATATATATGAGTTTTTATAGATATTTATAGAACAGGGCAGGAGCAAGACCACAGAGGGGCACACATTTTCACCAAGGTCATGCCTGGAGGTGTCAGCTCACCACACAACAGAAAGTCACAGATGAAGGGGAGGCTTTGGGGCTGAGGGGCCCCCGTCAATCCACAGAATAGCTGTCCAGGCAGGCTGGCAAAGGGAGGTCTCCGAGGAAGAGGAGGGATCTGGTTAGAGGTCGAAGGGGGGCCTGGGGCTCTCAGGACGGGACGGCCTTGCCTGACCCGATCGTCTGGCAGTGGGCGAGAAAGCAGAGAGAACAGCGGAGAGAGAGGAGGGAGACAGGTGGTAAGGCAAGAGCAGCCAGGCCACGGCACTGGTGGGCAGGGCGGAGGTGGGAAGCAGCAGCAGGTGGGCATGTGGGTGAGCTTTCTGGAAAAGGCCAAGGACAGGAAGGGGAAGGAAGATGGGAGGAGGAGCTGGAGTGGGTGACCAGAGCTTCCGGGAAGTCGGGGTGGAGGCTGGAGAGGACCTCCCCTGCCACTCACGCCACCTCTCACTCACCACCCAGGCAGCACAGCCACAGTCCTGACATTGCCTGGCCCTCTCGGGCTTCCCTCCTCCCTGACAGCCCTGCCTTTGGACCCACTGGCCAGGGCCAGCACTAGCCTCGGGAGTCCCACGTGGCAGCCAGCAGGCCTGATGGAGAAAGACAGGAGGAAGAACACTGCTTGAACCAGGAGGGCAGAGCTAAATCGGATGGGTGGAGGAGGCGCCGGAGGCCCCTCTGGGTGCTCAAAAAGCCCAGGAATCCTCTGAGGGGACCCTGAGGAGGCTGGGTGGGCAGGCAGCCAGATGCCAGCGGCCACAGACTCCCAAATCTAAGAGGGGAGCCTCGGCTGGTCAGGGGGCTGCAGGTCGTGTAGGCAAGGCTGGGCCTTCCCTGCTGGGGAAAAGCAGAAGAGGGAGAGTCAGAGGCCAGCGAAGAGTGAAGAGTGGCAGGTGGGGCCCTGGGCCAACTCTGCAGCCCGGCCGGGCGGAACTCAGAGCAGCTGACCTGCCCTGGCTGCGGGGCTTCATCTGGGGCTGAGAACCCCACCTTCAGCCAGTAGCAGGTGTGACAATGCCCAGGAGGGAGGCAGGAGGCTGTGCGTCCCTGCCTCGCCTGGGCTGATGGGTGCAGAGGATTCTCTGGCTTTGAGGTCATCAAGCAACTGGAGGCTTCCCCAGCCCAGCCACTGCTCAATTGCACACCCAAGGGACAAGGTGACCCCCGGCCTGTCACCCTGGCCTGTGCTGGAACTCCCAGGCTGGGGGCTGGATACCCCCCTGCCCTCTCTCCCCAGCAGCACAGCTCAGATTGGGGCGGGCATGGCACACCCAGGAGGAAGTTCAAAGGCCTCTGGCTGTCCCACAACAACACCCAAGTTCACAGCCCCTACACCATCAACCACAAGCTCCCTGGCCTCTCTGACAGCTCAGAGGGCACCCACATCTGCCAGTGGTGCGGATCCTGTCCCGAGAACCCCCAGGCTCAGTCACGGAGGCCCTGGGCATTGGCCTTGAGTCCCGAGGTTGGCTGGGAAGGGAGAAGAGAGCCAGCTGGTGCAAGGACAGAAATAGGAAAGAGGGAGTCTGGAGCTGCAGTAGGGAGAGGGAGGGGTGTCGCTCCCCCTCTTCATGGAGGAACGACACTAAACCCTGCCTAGGCTTCACATCCGAGTCACAGCACCATTATGTCGCTCCCCATCTTCGTGGAGGAACAACACAGGACCCTGCGCTGTTCTTTTGTCTGCTCGGCCCTTCCCGGGTTTGCTGCTGGTTCTTCCCAGGTTGGCTACCGACCCTTCCACCTCCGTGGAAGGGCGGTTCCCCCTGCCACTTTCCCCACTTCCGCAGGGGAGCGGCACACCACCAGCTGGCTCTCTCGGGGGCTGCACAGGTGTTCCTTCAGATAGATGTTCCCCTTAGATGTTCCTGGTGCATGTTGTCTCTCTCCTCCTTTATAGTCCTCTTCCACCAATCCCAACTCTGCTACCCACACGCCGAGTACGCTGCTCTCCTCCAATCAGGAGCAGGTCCTGCTGTTTATTGGTTGAACTGGAGGCAGCTGTGTAGAAGCTGTTTCCTCCTCTCCCAGCGCCATATTGTGGGAGAGCAGATGCATAGAATAAGTCTTAATTCCAGTAACATAGTCTAGTCCAAGTTGCTCCCAGTTGCTCCCCACAGATCCCCCTTTCTTTTTATTTTTGGCGTTGATACGCGCCTGTCTTCGGTGCCCCGCAGCACACACTCTGCTCTGCTTGCTAGAGTTGCCCACAGGTGCTTACAAGCCCTATCAATCAGGCAAACCGAATCCGGGTCCTCTCTTCGCCATGTTGTGAGGAGGTTTTTAGGCGCTGATGCGTGCCTGTGTTCGGTGCCCTGCAGCGCATGCTCTGCTCTGCTAGAACTGCCTGCAGGTGCTTACAAGCCCTATCAGGCAAACCGAATCCAAGCCCTCTCATTGCCGTCTTGTGGGGAGACTTATTGATGTTGATAACGTGCCTGTCTTCGGTGACCTGCAGCCGCCCACAGGTGCTTATCGTCTTACTAATCAGGCAGACCGAATCCAAGCTCTCTCATTGCCATGTTGTGGGGAGGCCTTATTTTTCTCTATTTCTCTATCTCTGGGCATTCCTATCTCTCCTATTTTACTTCTATCTGCCAGCATTCCTATTTCTCTCATTTTACTTCTAAACTTCTGTTTCTCTTATCCCCGCGGCTTCATCCTCCCTAACATATTTTTCTCTACCCGGTATGTTTCCTAACTTTTCTTCCAACAATATTCCCCTCATTTCTCCTGGCTTCTCCCCACAGTCCGTATCCGAGTCTAAGTTTCTTCTAGGTTTCACTTTCACTTTCAACCTGCAGTCCGTATCTGAGTCTAAGTTTCTTCTTGCTTTCACTTTAAATCCTAACTTCTTTCCCACAGTCCGTATCCGAGTCTATGCCTAGGCTTTCAATAGCTTCTTCCGGCACCTTTTCCGTCCGGCTTTTCCCTAGGCTCTTTGCTAGTCTCTCTCTCTGGTATTTTCCCACTTCTTCCCGTTTCTTCCCTCCTAGGTTTCCTATCCAAGTCACGGCACCATTATGTCGCTCCCCCTCTTCATGGAGGAACGACACTAAACCCTGCCTAGGCTTCATATCCGAGTCACGGCACCATTTGCTGCTCCTCCGCACGCGGAGGAGCCACACCGGACCGGACGCTTGTTGTTCCCCTTTTTTACAAGTCCTTTCTATAGTAAAGTAAGAATAAGTAAACAGCGAACTCCCAAAGCAAGAATGAGTAGAGAGAAATGAGAAAGAACGAAGCAACGAACTTCCCCACGAACTTCCCCACGAACTCTCCAACGCACTCTCCAACCAACCCACACCACCATACCATCTCTCTCCTCCTATATAGTCCTCTCCACCAATCCGTGCTCTGCTACCCACACGCTGAGCACGCTGCTCTCCTCCAATCAGGAGCAGCTCCTGCAGCTTGTCAAGTTGGTGAGAGGCAGCTGGGTAGAAGCTGTTTGCTCCTCTCCCAGCGCCATATTGTGGGAGAGCAGATGTATAGAATAAGTCTTAATTCCAGTAACAGTATAGTCCAAGTTGCTCCCCACAGAGGGGCCTGGCCCTGAGGTCCCAGGGGCACCCCCCAGTGTGGGGCTGGTGCAGTGGGGCAGACGTGGTCCTGAGGCAGGTAGAGTGGCAGGTGCCTACCTTGGCTGACGCTCCTCAGGGGGCACTGAGAGGGATTCTGAAAGACGGTTTGGGAGCCTCCTGGAGTTTTGTATGCCTGGGAAGACTGAAGAAGGCCCACCTGTGGACAGTGGTTGGGGCGAGGAGGGCTGGGGGTAGCCGTGACTGCCACTGTGTTTGTGGGGTCACGTAGACATCCTCCCCCGGTTGGGTGGGCTCAGAAATACAGGATGGAGGGCATTGGCACTCACACAGAGTCAGGGGGCGCCACCACCCTCACGCGTCGGGGGGCACTGGCCACCTCACGGGTCAGGGGTCACTGGCACCCTCACAGGTCGGGTTCACTGGCAGCCTCATGGGTCAGGGGGCACGGACACCCTCACAGGGTTGGGGGTCGCTGGCACCCTCATGGCATTGGTATCTGCAGCCACCCTCACAGTGTTGGGGGCCCAGGCACACTCACAGGGTCGCGGGCACTGGCATCCTCGCAGCTCGAGGAGCCCTGGCACCCTCATGGAGTCGGGGAGTGCAGGCACTCTCACGAGTCGAGGGGCCCAGGCACCCTTAAGAGATCAGCAGTGCAGCCACCCTCACTGGGTTGGAAGGTGCTGGCACCCTCATGGGGCCGGGGTCCGCAGCTACGCTCATGGCTCGGGGGTGCAGACATCCTCACGGTTCAAGGGCTCAGGCACACTCATGGGGTTGGGGGGGCACAGGCACACTAGTAAATCTGAACCTAGCGGAAGGTCTGTCTTTTCTCACATTCCATTTCTGGAGGCTCACCTTACTGTCCCCTAAGGAGAATCCCGATTCAGACACGGTTCCATAGCTGTGAGCAAAAACCAGCAAAGACCCACATGCTCTTTCCTTGGGAGCCTCAGGACAGGTCCTGTGCCCATAGGGTTTGAGAATGTGCCAATCCCGTCCTGGCCCCCTGCCCACCCCCTCTTGCTCTGGGAGTGGAGTAGAGGGGACATCCTTAGTCACCTTCCTTTCTTGGACTCTCCCCACAGAAACAACAGAACCAAGAAACTCTGGATCAAGTGGACAAAGTAATGTGATTTCTATGTCTGCTCATTGCATGGCTGCTGGATCTGCACCCCACCCCCTCCCCCTCCAGGGTCCCTGAGGTTTGATCTCATCAGTAGGCCCATCCAGGATGGTGGGATTCTGGAGGGTGTGTCCTTTGCCATGCCATCTGTGCCTCCCCCAGTAAGGCAGATTTCTTTTCTCTTCCTATAGCAGAAGAAAGAATGTCAGCAAAAGTTGGTCAAGGAACAGGGGGCACTAAGAGAACAACTCCAGGTGAGTGACTGGCGTGGTGTCCCCTCACATCCCCCAGGAGAACAGTCCTTTCTCTCACTCTGGGCACTTGTTTGGCTTCCTCCTAACAGTTCACATTCAAACCATTGGGATTGTTGTGTCTGAGAAGGCGGATTTACAGTCAGCCCTAGCTCATACCCAACAGGCAGCCAGGCAGAAAGCAGGTGGGACTGAGACCCCCTCCTTCAGCCAGGCACCTGACAGGCCTCTGTGGGAGGCCTCGGGGCTTTATCTCGACCCCTGTGATTCCAGGAGAGTCTGAGAACCTTGCTAATCACCTGCAGACTACCCGCCAGCGCGTCAGAGAGCTGGAGCGGACTTTGCTGTCTCCACGCAGTAGAAGCAGGTGGACAGGGTGAGCCCAGCCGCCTGCCCAGCCACTAGCAGCCTGGTTTCCCCAAGCAGGGAGTGAGTGAAAAGGTCCATTCCTCAGCCTGGAGTGGCCCAGATGCAGTCCAGGCCATTTCATGCAGCTTTCACTGGTGAGAAAGAACATGGGACCGAGTAGGGTTTGAGTGGGGGGTGGCTGTGCAGTAAGCACTGGAGACCAAGTGCTGGGAGAAGGGATGGGGTGCTTGGGCAGGGAAGGCACAGAAGAGCATGTCACTTAGCATCCATGGAGGGTGCTGTGTCGGATGGGAAAGGGGCCATAAACCCCAGGGAGAAGAACACGGTGGCTGGGAGTCATTTGACCTCTGTTCTTGCTGAGTTGTAGACTGTGTGAATGCTGCCCCATCCATTCAACAAGTGAACAGAAGATTCAAACACAAACTCGGTTTCCCTCCATGTCTGTGCCCTCATCACTAGGGGCAAAAATGGGCCCAGAGAATTAGACCAGGATGTTCAGATCTCAGACAAGCACTGCATTTTGTTCTGTCTTGTGTCACTCGACAAAGAGGAGGGCATAGTCACTGCCTCCTAGGGTAGCTGTGAGAATAAAACAGGGCTGTTAGCCTGGTGCCAGGTGGAGCACTGGGAGAGGTTTACACAGTGACGCTGGTAACAGCAATGGCAACAGCAGTGCTGCCCGCTGTCTCTGAGCCTCCACTAGCCAGATGGAAGTCAGAGCTCCTTCCCTTCCTCTTCTGCCCTTATGAAACTCTTAGGAAAAAATGGGACCCTGGCCTTGGCAGTGCCTTGACAGAGAGTAAGGGTGAGCAAGTGTGGCTGTGGCATGGTTCCTGTAGCCACTGCGACCAGCGCCCCAGCTCCATCTTGGTCCTGCCAAGTCCTGACATAGCTTTTCTGTGTTTGCAGCACAACAAGTGGTTGACCAAAGATCAAGATGCTCTCAAACTGGAGTTATACAAGAACAAGTAAGAAGGGGAAGGTGGCGGGGAGGAGTCTGGGGGACCTTAGTACAGGTGATGAGGGGAGGAGTGCCGGGGAGCATGAGGGGGAAGTGCCTGTACAGGCTGGGACGTGTGCAGAGCCGAGCTCTGGTCCTAGCTGTGCCACCAGCTCATGCAATGGCCTCAGGCAGCTAAGGTCCTCTCTCTGGCCTGCCACGTGAGTGACCTGATTGTTGGGAACCCCTCCAATGCCAAGGTTCTTGGGAGGTGCAGCAAAAGGTGGGTTGGTCACCAAATTGGTCCTCTGTTTGCTCATTCCTCTCGCTGCCACCTCTCACCATAACAAAAACAATGAGGACCTGAAGCAGCAGAACTCTGAGCTCCAAGAGAGGCTTCGAGTCCTCATGACCGAAAAGAAGACCCTGCAGCTGGGCACGGAGGAGCTGCAGAAGAAGCTGGAAATGTCTGAGCTGCTGCTGCAACAAGTAAGAGGCTGCAGCCCACGGAGCCCCAGCCCTAGCCCGCGGGGGCCACCATCCCCAGGGACTGTCAGGGAGGCCCCCAGCCAAGAGATGGAAATTCTGAATCCTTATTCTGGTCCTGCCCTAGAATCCTCCCGAAATTGCTAGAATTCTGCACAGAGAGCCCCTGCTGTAGCCATGACTGGAGTCAGACACTACACTATGGCATGTGGGCATGCCTAGTAGCCACCTACACACTGTACCAGACACACCCCCAAACCACTGTTTCATCCATGCCCTTGGTACGGCTACCCCAGGAGCCTGTTTGCTTCCTCCGGGAGCCCCAGCCAATACTTTACCTCCTCTGTGACCCTGAGTCCTGCGTTGGCTGTGGGGGCTCTCCAGATCTAAACTTGTCCTCCTCATTCAGTTCTCTAGCGAGTCTGGGGTCTCTGATGATAGGCAGCAGCTTCAGCAGACCATGGAGGAGCGGACCCAGCTGCAGAAACATGTGCAACAGGTGCGGCTTGGCTGGAGGAGGGGGGCTGTGGGAGGAGGACTAGAGCCCCAGGCGGCCAGGAGCAGGTGAGGATCCATGATGCTTCCTCCAAACTTCTGTGTCCATTCTCCAAGCTGCTGGAGATGCAGACGACTGTGGATAGACAGGGACCGTTACGCAGAGGGCCTGCAGGAAGAGCATGCCATGTGGCAGGAGAAGATGCAGCAGATGTCTGCCAAGGTGAGGCAGGCCCCTGTGGACATCTCACTTGATCTTTCTGGGTGTCTGTAAATGGGCACAGCAAGTGCACCTGCTGTGGCCTGCAGCCAGAGGTGGCTGCGTGTTTGGGTTTTAGGGGCAGCGTCGGTGCAGAGGGAGGCCATGGCCCCCACTCATGGCTCTTTTCCCTGTGCTTTGGGCAGCTGCGCATGCTGAGGGAGGAGAAGAAGCGCAGCCTGAGTCAGGTGCGGGAGCTGGAGACCACCTTGGCCGAGCTCAAGAGCCAGATGGGTGAGCAGGGGCAGAGGTGGCCTGGGAGCCGGATGGGTGTCGGGTGCCCCGGCGAGGAGTGTTGTGGCAGAGGGAAACAGGTCTGTGCCGGTGGATGGCGAGTCTTGTCATCTCTTTGAGCATAGGTGACCTCATCTGTAAATAGGGGTGGCATACCCACTATCCACCATGCACGGTCAAGCACTCTGTGTCATGGCTTGGAAGGGTAATGACCATCTGAATATGGAAAGTCGTTAGCCAAGAAGCCAGCACCGGGGTGGGGGCAAGCAGTTGGCCTGAGGAGCTAAGGACCAAGCAGGAGCTGTTTGAAAACCCAGAGGCCGGGGCCCCTGATGGCTGCTTCCTTTCTCAGCTGAGCCTCCCACCCCAGAGTCCCCAGCTTCCCCCGCGGGGCCGGCGGCGGCGGAACAGCAGCTGCAGGCGCAGGCTGAGCAGCTGCAGAAGGAGCTGGAGAGCCCTGAGGGACAGCTGCAGGCCCAGGTGCAGGACAACGCAGGCCTGAGTCACCTGAACCAGCAGCAGGAACAGCGGCTGCTGCAGCTGGAGCGGGAGGCGGAGCTGTGGGGCAACCAGGCCGAGGAGCGCAAGCAGATCCTGGAGCGTGTGACCATCAGCCGCGCGCTCCTGCAGAACCGGGAGCTCAAGGAGCAGCTGGCCGAGCTGCAGGATGGCTTCGTGAGACTGGTGCATTCGGCCTCCCTGGGCAAGGCCTCTGGCACAGAACACTTCCCTCTGGGCCTTCACTTCCCCCCCACCAAAGGGGACGGTGATGACCTAGGCAGATGCCCTGTGAGCCAGGACCCTGCTCAAATGTCTGTCGGAGGAGAGGGGCTGAGCTTCCAGCCCTCCCGGCACTGTGGGAGGTGCTGCAGGCAGAGCAGCACGTCAAGAACGAGCTGGCCAGGAAACTCAGCCAGCTGCAGGAGAAGCTGGGGGAGCTGAAGGAAACGGTAATGCTCAGCCTGACTGTGAAGGACTGGGCCATGGGGACAAGTCTCTGGGGAGGGCAGTGCTAGGTCCAGGAGGGAGGCCGCTCCAGTCTGGAGTGAAAGGTGACCTCCATGTCGACTGTCCTGTGACTCTTAGGACTGTTAATCCCCGGGTTCCTCCCGGGTCTGGACGTCATTGTCCCACAAGAGGCGTGTCACCCAGCTCCACTGGTCACTACACAAAGGCTACCCTTTGCTAAGCCTCAGATTCCTGACAAAGGAACTTAGCATTTTTTCCTTATACAGGTGTTGAGGATGAGCTGAGATTATGCATGTAAAGTATTAGGCACGAGTGTTCCCCTAACAGCTGATGCCTTCCCTCTCGCGTGTGGCCTCAAGTTAAAGTGATAGGAAAGAAAGGAAATTGAGTTTCCCACTTTTCGATGCAGGAGACACAGGGTTTTGTGCCACTCCCCTGCAACCAATGGAATCGTTTAGCAAGCCACCACCTGCCCTCATGCTCCCCCCACCCCCCTTCTGTCTCCCCTCAGATGGAGCTGAAGAGCCAGGAGGCTCAGAGTCTGCACCAACAGTGCGACCAGTATCTGGTCCACCTGCAGCAGTATGTGGCCACCTACCAACAGCACGTGGCTGCCTACTAACAGCTGAGCTTTGAGAAGGAGGCACTGCACAAGCAGATTCTGCTGCAGACACAGCTCATGGACTGGCTGCATTGTGCAGAGGTGTAGGGCAAGGTGGCAGTCCAGGTGGCTCGCCAAGAGCTGCAGGAGACCCAGGTGAGGAGCTGGTGAGCGTGGGGTGGGGCCCCTGAGTGGGAGGACCTTGCCACCTTTGTGCTTGCTCACTCTTCCTGGCCCCTTAGGAGTGCCTGGAAGCTGCCAGCCAGCAAAATCAGTAGCTGCAAGCTCAGCTGAAGCTCCTGGCCCTCCCTGGAGAGGGTGAGTGAGGCTCCCACGGGAGAGGACACAGCCTGTGGAGGGAGGAGGGGTCTTGGCAGCACAGCATTGAGTTCAGAGAGACTCAGGTCGGCTGAGCCCTCTCCTCTGGGCAGTGGCTGCCCTGGGTCTCCCAGGGAGGGTGGGCACTGAGGGAAGCCCTGAGCTTTTCTCCTTCACTCACTGGATCATCAGGGTCCCCTCTGGCTGTCCCCTCAGGAGGAGATGGGGAGGAGGAGGAGGAGGAGGAGGAGAAGGAGGAGGAGGAGGAGGAAATTTCCCAGGCCAAAGTGCCCGTCCTAGAAGACCTGGAGAGCCGAGAGGCCGTGGTAAGCCAGGCTGTGCCCTGTGCCCTCTCCATCCCACCTTTCCCTGCCTCCCTCTGTGATCCCTCCTTATATCTTGAGACCACCCCTGCCTTTGATTTCTCTTGACCTCACACCAGTGGTCAGATACCATTCCACCCAGGAACGGCAGGTGCACCTGCACACATGAACTCATCCATCTCTTGCCCTTAGGTGGAGTTCTTTACGTCAGCTCTCGCCTGAGCCGAGGAAGAGCAGGCCCGGCTCCGTGGGCAGCTGAGGGAGCAGAAGGCTCACTGCCGGCGCCTGGCTCTCCTTGCCATGCCATCGCAGGGGGAGCCAGAGGAGACATCAGCCGCTGGGACTGGGGTGACTCTGTGTCTGGGGAGACCCACCAGGCCCTCCAGGGGGCCATGGAGAAGCTGCAGGTGAGGGGTTCTCTCCTGCCATGGGCCAGGAAGGGTGGGGGGTGGGGCCAGTGACGGCTGAGCCCTGACCCCATCATTGTGGCTCCAGCACCGCTTTCTGCAGGTGATGGGGGAGAAAGCGGAGCTGCAAGAGCAGGTAGAGGAGCTAGAACATCGCTGCATCCAGCTCTCTGGAGAGATGGACACCATCAGTGAGCCAGGAGCCCAGGGCCCTGGTAGGGAGGAGCTGCATGGGGGTTAGGGTGAGCCCCGCCTCTGAGCGCTGCCCCACTGTCCTGTCTCTTTGCAGGAGAGTACATTGCCCTCTACCAGAACCAGAGGGCAGTGCTGAAGGAGCGGCACCGGGAGAAGGAGGAGTACATCAGCCGGCTGGCCCAGGACAAGGAGGACATGAAGGTAGGGGCCCTGGACCCTGCTGCCTCTTGGGGCAGGGGGTGAGGACGAGGGCAGGGGCACTGAGTACCTCTCCTTCCAGATCAAACTCCTGCAGCTGCAGGAACTGGTGCTGCAGCTTGTGGGCGAGCGCAGCGAGTGGCAGGGCAGAGTCCTGGCTGCCGCCACAGACTGCGCTGACCATCCCCTCCTGGGTTCCCAGCCCTCCAGGACGCTGCTGACCCGCAGGCTGGTGAGGAGAGCACCCTGGAGACAGGGAGGGCAGGCAGCAGCAGAGACACTGGCAGCTTGCTCAGGGCCCTCTCTCTTTCCAAAGATCTTGGCGAGGTGAGCCTCACTGACACCATGGAGCCTGCACGAGGAGAGGCTGGGGAGGGTTCGTCCACCTAGAACCCTCCTGTGCAGCAGGTCAGGAAGCTGCTGCAGGAGATCCAGCACCCCCAGGAGCACCCAGGCTTGGGCACCAACCCCTGCATCCCCTTCTTCTACCGGGCTGACGAGCATGACATTAAGATCATGATCGTCTAACACCAGATACCGTCAGCCCGGAGAGCCCCCACCCAATCCTTGCCACTCCACCCCTGCTAGCCACCCTATCCCCTGCCATTTCTTCCCAGTTCCCTTCCCTCCTTAGATAGAACCCCTGATGGGGAGAGAAAGGCCTCTTTAGGCTGCCTCTCTCTGGAGGACCCCAGGGGCTCCTGGGGCCTCCTCATTTCCAGCTCCATCCTCAGAGGCTGTGACCAATGCAGGCAGCGTTTGTGTGGCCCCCAGAACAGCCAAGACCAGGGGGTGCTCATCTCTTTGGGCAAGTCAGCCAGGAAGTTTTCATCACCCCTCTTGAGGCTGTCAGCCTGGCAAGGGCATAATCTGGCCAGGAACATCACGTGGGGGTATCAGCAGTCACGGACACGAGCAGGCAAGAGCCGTGACCTCATAGGGACATTGCCAGTGCAGGACAGCATCAGGCGAGGGTCATCTCTAAGCCACAGGCATCTGTGGGTGAGGCCATCTTCAGGCCAGGGTCATCTTCAGGCCGGGGTCATCTTTCAGGCCGAGGTAATCTGCAAGCGAGGGCATCTGGGCACAAAAACCATCTTCAGGCAATGGTCATCGCTAGGCAGGGACATCTGGGCAAGGGTCACTCTGTGCCAGGGGCATCATTGGGTGAGGATCATCTCCGGGTAGGGGTCACTTCCGGGCCAGGAGCATCTTTGGGTGAGGACATCTAGGCAAGCATTATTCTGGGCCAGCGGCATCTTTGGGTGAGCGTCATCAATGGGCAAGGGTCACTTCTGGGCCAGGGGAAATTCACATGAGGGTCATCTCTGGGTGGGGGCATCTGGGTGAGGAGGGCACATTTGAGCAAGGATCATCTTTGGGCAAGGGCTTCTTCGATGAGGGCATCTCCAGGCCCAGGGAATATTTGGCAACAGCATCTGGACACGGGCATCTTCAGACAAGGGCAGTCTGGGTGAGGTTCACTTCAGGCCAGGGGGCATCATGGGTGAGGGTCATCTCCAGGCAGGAGCAACCAGTCAAGAGTCACTTCTGGGGCTGGGGCATCGCTGGGCAAGGGTCACCTCTGAGGTGGCGGCATTTTCACATGAAGTCATTTTCAGGTGAAGGCATCTGGGTGAGGGTCATCTTTGGGCAGGCACACTGCTGGGCAGGGGTCACTTCTGGGCCAGGGGCATCTTCAGGTGAGGTCATTTTCAGGCAAGGGCATCTGGGCAAGAAGGGCATCTGGG